ATATTTGTGAAGTATGGGGATTTATCACTGTTCTCTATGTGAATTTGTTTTTAGTGGTGCACCCTGCAGTTATTCGCCAAGGCATTCTGGGAAAAAGGTCAAGTCCGCGCCACGTTCCATCATGTACGTCCAAGCTCCGATAGTAGAGAACCAGCCTGAGGATAGTGAACATAGGCCGCAAGGCGAACGCGCTGCATGCCTAGCTCTGCTATACGCGTATATCTAACGCATAGCACACTGATTTGGCTCATAAAACAACAACCATTCGGTAGCTCGCAACAGGGCTGCAGTATGCGCATTAGGCCCTGACGTCTGCTGAGACTAATTTAAGAAATAGGCTGTAAAAATGAGGTGTTCCAGCAATGCTGGGAATACTTTTTGAATGCATAAATGTGAGGTTCTGTACATCCCAAACGTTATGGTCAAAAGTTCTCCAAAATATCCTGCAGTTTTTTAGTAATTCCATCTCAAAGTTTGCCATAGTCTTGTATGCTATAATGCACAATACGTGTACATGTATATGTATACACCTCTAAAGCTTTTTTGGGCACTTCCAACTTTAAAATTAGAGAACTGTGATTATGTCAAACGTTCAATATTATAAATTTTGATTTGTATTATGAATATATATGACAAATTAAGAAAAGACAGCACATGATTTTTGTCATTTCACACCACAGAAAGGCTTTATGTTGTTCTTAAAAGACTTTTGATCTGGTAGACACCACCATTGTTATTCTGGTCTCAAAATATTTAACAATCTGGCTTATCAGAATAAAAAAAACATGCAAAAGGAGAGTTAGTTTTTTTTACAATACAGATACCAGGGGGCTGTGATGTCCAAAATGGAGATGAAAATGTAATAACTTGCTGACAGCAGGGGAAATATAATGTACATGTAGGGAACTTCACTCAATGTACTCCTAATGTAATTATTGTCGCAGGTTCGCCGCCGAAACGGGCAAATAAAAGGGCAGTCACACAGATCAATACTTCACAGCTGGTTTAATTCCTGGCACAGATCCGAATGGTCCAAGGTCAGAACACAAGTCTCTATCTACAATCTAGCGTGGCTATTTATACAGGTTGGGCTTGTTTTTAAAGAACAAAACATTCCATCATAACATTTGATAAAAAAATTAAAAAAAACATAAGGTAGAACAAAACAGCGTGCAGCGTAGCAAACATTAGTGTCTCATGCTCGCCGCAAGAGCTGGCGCGACCAAGCAAGCAAGTGCCGTAACCCAACTGTGCACTGTCATTGCACGCTGAAGTGGCGAAGGCGCAACGTGAGAGAACTAATAATCGCAGAGCGCGCTGTTAGGTAATAACAAGAAATAACCAATAATCATTAAGGTACTGCTGGTATTTGACGGGGGAGGGGGGACTGGAGTCTCTTATAGCTACTGACAGCAAGCGTCGGGAAAATAAAAAGTCACTTCTGGGATTCGAACCCACCTTCTGACGATCCGATACCCGCGAACCTAACCACTCGGCCATCTCTGAGATACTGCGTTTTCTGTTCATATTAAGGAGATAACAAAGTCATTCAACTTACTGCACAGAATGTTGCTGGGTGAATATTGAGTGATTGAAACGTAATCCGCCCTGAGCCAAAGTGCACCCTCACCGGCGAAAGAAAGACAGGTGGCTCTAAGATTTCCAACCGGGTTCTAACACGCTGCGTTCGGCGTGCGCGCAAAGACCACACATTCTAGACTAAAATCGTTGCGCGTATTCATCGTGCTCTGCGTCAACGCGCATAAAGTTGCGAACCTATGCGATGCGTGAGTACTAAAGTACTGTTGATTTCATTTCAAAACACGCCGCACTCTTTTATTCCTGGTCGTAGCGGGAAATAGTGCATTTGATTTGACTTATTCACAATTTCCACACTAAAGAAAAGCAAACAACTCAACGATTTCCGAAAGTAAAAATAGTAGGGATAACGCAAACAAAGTAAAAATAACTTATTTCCATTGCGGTCCCAACTGATGAGAAAATTAACCTGAACAAGTACGGTAAAATAGATCAAAATCATCCAACTATTATAAAAGCCATCAAAAATACAAAAATCACGTAGCAAAAGCAAAAAGACACATTCAAGCAAACAATAGTGGTCAGTATCAAATGCTCTCCCTGACAGCTTCTCTTAAATGAACCCGAATCAACATGACCGGGAAAGTCCCCGGAACCACGCCTATCCGGTTGGTAACTTTGTCATGCACGCGGGTGCGCCACGATTTGCAGACTCCCACTGGACGATAGTTGAAGTTGCGCGTATTCCTGTAACTCCATGTGCATGCAGTGCTTGTGCAGTGGACCTAGATAAAACTGAAGTGAGGTCCCACTTGATACACCTGCCCACCTGTCCCAACTTTTTCACAGTATTATGTAAAAGACACGCCATTTTTGCTTTTTTTTGGGGGGGGGTGTTCTCTCGTTTCCTTTACTGGCATGAAATGACAGCCTAATCATTAGCCCAATTGTTCTGCAAGAATAACACGTGCTGTGCGGTGGATCTGATGTGTGGTATATAGCTCTCCGACACATTGTCCTGTAAAGAGAACCTCTTTACAGCAGATTCCTTCTCTATAAAGATGTGGTTGAACAAGCACTTTTTTGTCATATTATAAATCGTTTTAACATTGTAGACCGTCACCAGTGTGGTAAAGTT